TTTAAAGCAGCTCGGTAAATATAGCAACCCAAAGCTTGCGCAATGCGAGCCGCTGTTCCTACTCTGCGGTTCGTCGTGTCCTTTCCGCCGTAACTCGTCAATAAAGATACCACCTCGGCGGCGTCATTTCTGAAGAATTTTAAACACACACACACACACAACCCACCACTGTAATATTGATAATTTGGGGCAGCCTGTTCCTGAGATGGTCATTGCAGAGGGCTGATATTGGAGGAAGACAGCTCAAAGGTCCTGCCAAGGCCTCCAGAAGACGCCGTTTGATCCTTGGTCCAACCGAGGCTGGCGTTGGCTGACAATGGTGTAGGACAGGGGTCTTCCAACTTGGCCCTTTTATGACTTGTGGACTTCAACTCCCAGAATTCCTCAGCCAGCTATGAGGAATTCTGGGAGCTGAAGTCCACAAGTCACAAAAGGGCCAAGTTGGAAGACCCCTGTTGTAGGAGAGGTTGTGTTCTGAGTTTTAGCAGTGTGTGGGACAGGGCTATGTGGGCCTAGTGGATCAAGGGGAAGCCGGTAAATCCTCTTCAGCACAACTTGAGCAGAACCTCCTAATCCCTCGTGAGCAAGGCCTACTTTGCCTTACCCATTGAGGTCATCCAATATATTGGCTGTGCTGGTTGTAGGCTACACAACTGTCGAGATCTGTGGGGTGGGACACGGGCTGCGTATGTGTGTGTGTGAGAGAGAGAGAGACGGTAAAGTCTTTTGGCAAACGGCACCAGCAGCATTTGGGAATGTCAATCTATGATTTGTCAAACCTTGGCTTTTTTTTCTGGCTGTTTCCATTGCTCAGTGGTGACTTTTCCTGCCACCCTGGAGTTCCCCCCATTCTGCGGAACGCAGATTGGAGAAAGGGAAGCTGATGGGAGATTCCCATGATTACAGAGGCCCAGAGTCCTGAATTACAGGCAATAAAATGCTCTTCCCCTTTCCAAACACACCTTGCTTGGACCTGTGCCGTGTGCTTTCCAAAAAGCATTTTGTTGCCCTTTTTAAGCAATACGCAGAATTGGATCTACAGGGGAATACCAGTTCTTTTCCCAAAGCAGATTCCCATCTTTAACCAAACGCATCTCGCGTCTTCCTAGCAGCTTAGCCGTGTTGGTGGGCTGTTCCTGGGGATATGTGGCTCAGCCACACAACTTTGTGGACTTCCCAGCTTTGGTCAAAAACTTCAGCCCAAAACTTTGGGTGGGAAAGTGCTGGGGTTTTGCACTCCGCTTGTGTGTTTTGCTTCACTCGGACCGCCCGGTTGCTACGGAAAAGTTGAGCTAATAAAGTCTCGTGTGTTTGTGGCCACTACACCTGCTTGGTTTGTCAGATGTTTTCAAAGGCACAAGTGTGGGCAGCTTCTCTCTCTCTCTCTCTCTCTCTCTCACTGGGAAATCCATATTCTCAGCCAGGCAGAAACGGCAGCAAGTATGAGTTGTCTGCATGTTTGCAAAGTAATTACTCCCTGCTTTCACGGATTGGGAAATGCTCAAGAAAGAGGTCAGGTGTGTTTTGGGCAGCCCTGGAGTCTGGAGTCTCGCCAGTTGGACAACAATGGAGGTTTGTTGGTTTACCTGTCTGGACTTTCACAATCTTGTTACATGCGGGAAAGGTGTTTTTCAGAAAACGAGAGAGGGACAGAGGCCAGTTCTACGTGACCCTTGTAGCCTCTTGTGCCCTAAGGAGAAGGCATCAAGATGGGCTGAAATTAAGCAGCCGGACGGTCCTTTAGCCAATACCCATATTTACCTGCACAATGGGACACTCACCTGGACCCCTCATTTTTAAGGAGCGTGAACTGAGCGCAGAGGGGGGGAAAACGTGCATGAGATTTCCTGCAGAAACCAAAGAGCAGACCACGCCAGCCCAGGGAGAGATTTGCAAAAGGGAGGGTGGAGTTAGGAAAGGGAACGCCCGGGATACGAATATCTGGAATTGTAGTCCTTCCTGGGAGAGGGTTAGGGTTTGGGTAGTGAAAAGAGCTTTCCGCAGGGGGGCTGCTTGGTGAGAGGCCATCTGGCAGCTGAGTCCCCCGAGTGTGGAAACGTCTCCCAGGCCTTGACATTTCTGCTGATGTATTCCGAGCTCTCGCCAACTGTGCTATCACCTTGCCTGCCGATTTAACGATTATGACTTGGCCTGAAGATGGGGGAGGGGGGTGTCCTCTGAAGCAGAGGGGGGGGGAGGAAAGCCTCCTCTCTCGCCTTCAACCACGCTCGGCTTTGCCACGGCCACGCGGGACCAGCCGGCGTGTCCGAGTGACCTTCGGCGGAACAGGCGCTGCATTCCCTTGAACATCTGTTTGGACCCAGAAGGGGGGAAATGAGGCGCATACGAAATCCACTTTTAGGGTTTTGAGCACCCCCGTCCCCTTCTTTGAGACCCAGGTCCTCTCCTGTAACCCTTTGGGGTTCCAAGGTGGCTGTGGGCACCCTGGGAGCCTGCCCAAGGGGTTTGAAGCTTTTGAGAGACCAGCATGAAACATCTGTGGGATGGGAGGTGCCTACATCCTTTTGGGAGGTGCACAGCGCGTGGTTGGAAACTCACCTGCCTGCCTGCTTCAGGCATGTGGCCATCGGTCCGGCCCCTCTGACGGTGAGGCAGGTGAGCGATGTGGCTTCTCCCAAAAGGGCCTCCGACATGCTTTCTGGCCGGCCGGTTATTTCCCCCAAAGAATCGGACGGCCTGTTCATTGGTAGCCTGACTTTCCCACCAATCCAACTTTGTTACGGAACGGAACAACCTGGAAAGAAACCACTCAGAGGCTGGTTATTACCGGCAAAGGCTGGTCGGCGTTCAAGGGGCAAAGAAATTGACGTTAGCTCTTATTTAAGTCTTCTTAATTTCCCACTGGTTACATTCACCTTTAAAAAAAAAAATTAAAAAAACAACCCATTTTGTCGCCCACCCAGAATCGCCTTATGGATGAGACGGGCGGCAGAGAAGTTGAATAAATAAATAAATAACCCGTCCGTCCCAGAAGCAGCCGATCTGCTCTTTTACCTAAATTATGACATTGCCATCTAAAACACCCCCCCTTAAAAAAACACCCCACCCCTCCCATCTGCACAAAATCTCCTTCCTGCAGAACAGAAGTGGGGGGGGGAAGAGGGGGAGCATCAAACCCCCCCACACTCAAAAGGGGATGGGAGGAAAGAACAGGCCCCTGTTCCCAGCTCCGCCACCTGCTTCTCCGCCTCCTGCTTCCCCCCCACCAAAGCCTGGGCTGGGATCTGCGGCACTTGGCAAATATCATTGGGATGTTGTCACTGTTTCCTCTTTCCTATGAAGCAGCAGCAGCAGCTCCTCAAAGTGATCCCCTCTTGAGTGTGTGTGTTTTTGTGTGTGCAAGACCAGGGCAAACACAAACCACGTTTGTTGGTTGAATCAAAGCCCTGTTTAAACAAAGGTGGTCCACGCAGGCCTGGAAGCTAGACCTGCCCTCCTGGGTGCAGAGGGCAAGTTTGGGAGGCCAGGGTGGGGAAAGAGAATCTCCTGGCACTCCTCCTTGGCCCTTGGCCCGGTCGGAATCCAGTGGCTTCCTTGGTGACCAGATCCAGCTCAGAATCCAGGAAAGCCAGCAAACGGTCTTGAAAGGGGAAAGGGGGCAGGTGGGACTTTATTCCTGCCGCAGGAGCCTTCCAAGTCAAAGGGGGGGGGGCTCTCGTCCTGGCGCCCCTGGAAAAGGCCCGGAGCTGGTGGGCCCAAAGCGGCCTTTCTTCTCCCGGTGGGTGATTTATAGGCCGAGCGGAGCGACTCGTGGAAGCGGCAAGGCAGAATCTCGGCAAGCGGCCAGCAGAATCTGCTGCAGCTGCGGCATTGTGAAGTCATTGCCCTAACAACTGCTGCAAACAGAATAACAAAGTCTGGGCTGTTTGCGTCGCGAAGGGGGGGAGACGCGTTCCAGTTCCAGGACCGGCCAGCCGCCGTTTTTTTTCCAGGCTTACCTTTGCCTCTTCCAATTTAGCCAGGCAGAGTTTGCAAATTCTTCGGCTGGGATCCGTGGTTTCTTTCCTTTTCCTTCCCCCCCACCCCCCCAATCTCATCCTTTTAAGAATGGCCTTTTTCTTCCTCCTCCTCCTTCTTTTAATGCATCTTCTGGAAATTCCATCACTTTCATATAAGGACGAGGATGGCTTTCTTACTGTATCGTTTGGGGAAAGTCCGATGTGGGTCTGTTGTGTTTTTAACGGTCCCGAATACCTCCCAATCAATGTAATAGATTTCCTCCTACTTGAGAGGACCCAACACCCCCCCCCCCACACAAGCTGGTACAAATTTCTGCTGAAAAGCCATTCAATAAATCATGTTCTCTTCTCCAGCTGGATACAGTTCCAGGGGATTTTTTTTTACAGCGGATTCTTTTGGGATGCGACTTGGTTTGCCACTGTTTACCGCAATATAGGGAGTTAAGATTTATTCACCATCGAAAAATAACGTTCTTTCAACGGTTGGGCTCTTCTGCGTGCGACGACGTAGGTGGACTTGAACCGACTGAATGTGTTTGAGGCCTCTACGGTGCTCAAAAGTGGATTTTTGTATGCCAGAGACAGGGAGGGAAAAAAAAACTCTCTGTATTGCAGCATCGATACAAGTTCAGGCTTTTAAAAGTCTTGACTGAGCATTTTGCACTGACTGCAGATTCGCAGTTACAAATCTTGGGAAACGTAACGGTCTGTTCAACACCCTGCAGGGACTCTCACGAAGGCTGCCATTTTAGGATGCTCACCTTTGGGTAATCCCCGGAGTTTTCACCCCAGACCCCAATTTTCTCTTCCTTGTTCCCTAATTTTTATTTTTATTTAGTGAAGGAGAAAGATGGCTTTCTTATTAATCAGGAAAAAGCAGCTTTAATGCAGTTGTGGAGGAGGCTGCAACTGGATCCCGTGGCTGTAATATCGACCCACCTTTGATGGACCTTTGTTCTTTGGTTTTTTTTTAAATGCAGTGGAAAATACCCAATTTTCTTTTTTTTTTTCCCCTTTCAGGTCCCGTCCGATCCTCCTGTCCCCAAGAAACCCAAAACGGACGATGTCCTGCAGTCTCCCTTACTTGGTGATAAAGAGAAACAGTCCAGTTGGTTACGATCCTTGTCCAATTCATCCAGTAAGGTGAGTTTTGGGAGTTTGGCTAGTTTTGTGTTGGCTTCACATGGCGTGTGATGTTCGTCCAGTAGGCTCTACCTCCTGGCTTCTGTGTGGTACGCCACACTCACAAAACTTTTGTAGTGCTTAGCCAGAGATTCAGAAGCTCCAGTCTCCCTCCAGATCTTTGCTTTATCCATTTGTCTCTTACTGTTGTTCTTCTTCCCCCCCTTTGTTTTTTTAATCAGAATATTGGGTGTCTCCATCCCCAGCAGCGTCTTTCCGCATTCCGGCCCTGGTCCCCCGCCGTTTCAGCCAGCGAGAAGGAGGTCTCCAACCACATCCCTCGGTTGATCAGAGACAGGTAAGGAGAATCCCGAGTTTCTCCAGCCAAAATTTCAAGGCCGTTAAATTGAATACTCAGGCCAGATGTGTAACTTGAACGCCAGTGCTCTGAAAAGTGTCCCACAGGATGCATCAGCCCCCCGAGGCCTTAATATCTGAGCCAAATAAGACACGGCAGACAGAACCAGGGTATAAAATTAAGCCTTTGGAGCATAGAAGAAAATGGTGGTTAATCACATGGTTGGGCTGGAGAGTAGATGGATCGGATGAACGAACGGTGCCTTTGGTCTAGACTAGGGGTAGGGGAGCCTTGGCTCTTTTATGACTTGTGGACTTCAACTCTCAGAATTCCTCAGCCAGCCAAAATAATAACAATAATAATAAAGGTTATCTATCTATCTATCTATCTATCTATCTATCTATCTATCTATCTATCTATCTATCTATCTATCTATCTATCTATCTCCTATCAATCAATCAATCAATCTATCAATCTATCATCTATATATCAATCATCTTATCTGTCTTCTATCAGTCAGTCAATCTATCATCTATCTATCTATCATCTATCTATCTATCTATCTATCTATCTATCTATCTATCTATCTATCTATCTATATCTATCTATCTATCTATCTATCTATCTATCTATCTATCTATCTATCTATCTATCTATCTATCTATCTATCTATCTATCTATCTATCTATCTATCTATCTATCTATCTATCTACAGTAAGTTGCTTTGTTCTTTAAAATTCAGAGCAGCAAAATAAGATTACTTTGCCCGGTGCAGAAGTGAACTTTTCAAAGCTGGCAATTAAGCCTTTAGATGATTCATTGCGTTAATGAGAAACGGCACGGAAACCCACCCAAGGAGCTCTCTCCAGCCCTCTCCGGAGGGAGCGGGTGAGTCACCCCGAAATAGCTTTGTGGGGGCTGCGAGGTAACCTGGCGTTCTTTCCGCCCTTCCCTTTGCCAGTTTCTATTCGTATAAAAGTTTTGAGAACTCCGTCGCACCCAACGTGGCGCTGGCCCCTCCTCCTCAGCCAAAGATCGTCAGCAACCCACTGTGCCCCCCGGCTGCCTTGCGGAACGGCGAGCCCCTGAGCAGCCCTCCCCAGCTCCGGAAAAGGAAACACGTCTCCGAACACCCGGCCGTGCCCGAACCGACGCCCGCTGCCCTGGCCACCGTCGCTCCTCCCGCCGCTACCACGGAAGAAGACAAGGAATCCGAAGCCGAGATAGAAGTAGAAACACGAGAAGAATGTAAGTGTGACTTTTTAGGGGGGGGAAAGCCGGTGGAGGAGGAGAACCCTCGCCCTCCTTTGCTCATAAAAGCCGATTTGATGGTCAAATAATTCTCGAGCCCCAGGAGGAGATCCAGGCAGCTCAAATGTGTATAAAATTTGTTGTAAGCTTAAGCTCTCTCTACAAGAATCTGAGCTACTAACGGTCGAGGGAAATGAGCGGGAGATAAGAATGGGAAGGAATTCAAGGTGGGCTGGACTTTAGGTCTCTTGTGGGTGCGAAGGGACTCGTGACTGATGACGCGTTTGACCCGTCCCTCCCATCTCCTACAATAATTTCCCGTTAAGGCCATCTTTCCAATAGCTTGAACCTTTTTTTTAAGCAAAAAGGAGCTTTTTTTTAAGCAAAAAGGTTGAAAGGAGCTCCTGGGGCTTCAGACCTCCCAGTCCCTGTCCAAAACCAAGAACGGGACTTCCTTTGTGTGTTGTTAAATGCCACAATTCTGTAAGGTTAAAGGGATGCTGGTCTTAAGCTTCCCACAGTGAAAATACACCCAGGGACAGAGAAGTGCAGGACTTGGTTCCCACAAACGTTGTGTTTCTTTGCACCCATGCTCCCTACCTTTATTGCATATGAAACCACGTTTTACTTATGGACTCCCGCCATCCCCAAACGCTGCCTGGCGGGGTGGCAGGTGGCCTGACTGCCACGGCTTCTTTCCTTCTCTTTGCAGTCACTTCCTCCCTGTCCTCGCTCTCCTCCCCATCCTTCACCTCTTCGAGTTCAGCCAAGGACATGAACTCCCCCAGCCTGCAAGTCCAGCCTGCCCTCCCCGCCAGCAGCAGCAGCAGCAGCAGCAGCAGCAGCAGCAGCAGCAGCAGCAGCACCGTCTTCGAAGGCTCGAGTCACGCCGAGCCTCCCAACGGCCCCAATGGGCTGGAAGCCGAGCTGGAGCATCTGAGGCAGGCCTTGGATGGCGGTCTGGACACGAAAGAAGCCAAAGAGAAATTCCTCCATGAGGTGGTGAAGATGAGGGTGAAGCAGGAAGAGAAGCTCAACGCTGCCTTGCAAGCCAAGCGCAGTCTCCACCAGGTAATGGGGTGCCCCCCGGGGCCTGGGGCACAAAGGGGACACTATTTTGGGGGACAATCCCCGGGTGGCGCTCGGATTCACCTCTTCTAATGATCCGCCTAGATCGTGGAAGCTCAGGTGTGTGTGTGTGTGTGTGTGTTGCGTTATCACAGTTAGTAGGTTGATTCGTGTTTCCCAACCTCAGCAACTTAAAGATGGGTGGACTTCAAAGAGGTGCGAAGTGGACTTGCTGGCTGGGGAATTCTGGGATTTGAAGTCCACCCATCTTAAAATGGCTACAGTTCAGCAACACTGGTCTACATCATCCTGTCTGGTTAGCTACCTGGTTTAATTTGAGAACGGAAGGGGATATTGATGTGGGTTTTATTCCTCTCTGAATCCTGACAAAAAACCATTAGCAGGCTAGGGAATTCTGGGAGCTGAACTCCGTGCATCTTAAAAGTTGCCAAGATTGGAGACCCCTGAGGTTATCCAACTGACCCCTTGCCTAGCCGATTGGCCTAGCCCTGGGGTGTGGGTTGGCCTTGGGCCCTTCCACTGTTAAGCCGCCCTCTCGTCCCAGGAGCTGGAGTTCCTCCGCGTGGCCAAGAAGGAGAAGCTGAGGGAGGCGACGGAAGCCAAGCGCAACTTGAGGAAGGAGATTGAGCGCCTCCGGGCAGAGAATGAGAAGAAAATGAAAGAGGCCAACGAGTCCCGGATACGGCTCAAGCGGGAACTGGAGCAGGCCCGACAGGTCCGGGTGTGCGACAAAGGCTGCGAGGCCGGCCGTCTACGAGCCAAGTACTCGGCCCAGGTGAGTGTGGAAGCAGCCGTGCCCTCTTCCCAGCCCAGAGCTTGGCTTGGGATGCTCGAGAGATTTCTGCCGGTGGGCAAACTCCCCCCAAAAGTTAAAAGATTCAAGGAAGCATCAAGCAGCATCGCTTGCCAGTCCTTTTCAAAGGAACCCCTCAGGAGAAAGCTGGGTGGAAAAACACTCCGGGCGGCTCTGAGCATCTCCAATTTCTCCTCCTCCCCATAAGTCTGAGAACTTGTCGTTTTGGGTTCAGGGTCCTGTTCTCGGCTTGAGTCAGACTGGGCTTGCTGGTGAAAACATCCCTTTGAGAGGCTGCGGGAGAGGCCTTGGGAGACGGAGCCAAGGGAACGGGAAGATAAGAGACAGCAGAGCCCACCACTGTATAACGGGTGGAGAAACAGGCTCGGAAGGGATCCTGTCTAGGTTTTTGGGGCCGTAAAAGGGAGGGAAGGAAAAACGGTACTTTTCAGATTCTGTTAATGTAGCTTTACAATGAGGTAGAATGAGCGTATATGACTAGGGAGACGCCGCGTTCTCCTCCCCCAGTTGCTAACCAAGGCTTGTCTGTTCCTGTTAAGAAAAAGGAACCCAGAAGGACAAGGATCCAAAAGCCCTAGGGAAGGGAAGGATCCACTTCCCCCACCACAAATGCGGGCCGATCGCTCTAAGCAGCCCTGTGGTTTGGAAACCCCGCTCACTCACCCTCCTGCTCTCCTCCCAGATCGAAGATCTGCAGGTGAAGCTCCAGCACGCGGAGGCCGACCGGGAACAGCTGCGGGCCGACCTCTTGCTCGAGCGCGAAGCACGCGAGAACTTGGAAAAAGCCGTCAAGGAACTGCAAGAGCAACTATGGTCGAAGCATAACGACCTGCCCAGCGGTGCCCACACCCCGAAAGACCCCGAGAACTGAGCCCCCCCCGGGCCCGAGACCGGTGGAATCGATGCGCTGCCTGTGGCCCCAGGGCCGATCTGTGCATAGTAAGCGAGAATGCGTGGAAGAGGCGTTTTTTTCCCCCCATCCCTGCATGTGGCTAAAAAAACCCCCATGGATCTGGTTCTTAATCGGAGGGCAAATGTTACTCTTTATAACGAAAGCACTGAATTCTGCCTCTTTTTTTAAAAAAAAAATCCGTATAGCACAACATTTTCCTGTGCCTATAACGTGAAAAGTGTTTATAAATCTACTCTTTGGAGTCTGCAGCAAAAAAGAAAAAAAGGAAAAAAAAATTTAAAATGTATTTTTTTCTTTTCTACTTGTCCGGTAAGCAGCGTTTGTGGAAAGAAGGGACAAGCTTTGAGGGCTGCTACAAATATATATAGATAGAGATATGTGTGTGTCTGTGTCTACACACTCACACACATATACGTACACCAACAAACCCCAACAAGCCCTTTTGTTATAAGCTATTTCGAAATGCAAATCATTTAGTCAAGACGACGTATTAAAAACCATTGAGATTTCTTTTTTAAAAAATAAATAAAATAAAATATGAAATATATTATATATAAATGTGGGGCCGGGGGTGGGATACTTTTGATGCCTATTGTGTAAATTGGTACAGGTGTTGGAAAGTGTTTCAGGAAAGAAAATAGCCATGAATGATTTCAAATCAAGGGATTTTTTAATGAGAATTTCCGATTTTAGGATTCCCCCCCTCCTTTCTCCAGGTTTCAGCCTTTGTTTTTCCTATGTTTGATCATAAAAAAGAGAGAAAGTTAGTAGGGGGGGGGAGAGAAAAAAAGGATGTTTGTACGTTTAGGAATAGATCTCTGTCCTAAATAAAACCCAGCCTTATGAAATTCAGTGTTCGCTCCTCGCAAAGACTCGCTTTGACTCCAAAGCACTTCGGACTTTAGCAAACAACAACCCGAACACGTCGAAAAAGAACGAGAGGAAAGGAAGAAGTTTAACCTGAAAGAAACAGCTGGATTGATCCCCCCCCCCGTTGCTTGTGAGCAAGACACGGGAACGAGTGAGTGGCACGCGTGCGTGTGTGTTTTTTGGGGGAAAGGAAAAAACAAAAAAACGCCTTCCGTTTTGCTCAGCGAATTCATTCCACTTTTTTTGATCCGCCACGCCTCCGAAATTTGCAGCGTTTGACCTCCGGAAACTGGCAATGCTGCAGCAGCCAGAGAGCGTTGGGTGCCCTCTGAACGAACGAGACTCGCCTTTGTATTAAAAGAGACAAAAGACTTTTTGCTGCTGTGAATAAGCCAACTTTTGTTTATTCTTTTCGGGATCTTGTTTTTTTTGTTGTTGTTGCTGTCACGGGGTGATTTTGTTTGTTTGTTTGTTTGTTTCTCATGTGACAAAAATGCTTTAATCTTGGGATCTTGAAGGCGCCGGCAGTGCCCGCTTCCTAGCAGTGTGCAGCCAAAATATGCTCAGGGGATGCTTTGCAAAGTCCCCATCTTAAGACACACGTATGTGCGCACACACACATTTTTCTGGGGTAGGGGTGGGGTTAATTTGAAGTCCCTCCGTCCGTTAGCTCCCGTGGCTCCTTTTCTATCCTCTGGTAAAAAGCGGGGCTGGCTGGGGAATTCTGGGAGTTGAAGTCCATCTTAAAAGGCCAGCAAGGTTGAGGCACACTGTCACACAAAGCACCAGCTACAAGTTCGCAATGCTTTGTCGGCCACTGGGGTGCCAGGAACGTGGCTGGCTCGGCGTGCGCCTTGGCTGCGATACTGCAGAATTGTCACGGGCGAGAAACACCCGTAGTGGTGAGTTTGGAGCTGCCAAGGGCCTCTTCACGACACCTGAAAGATCGGTGGCTCTAAAGGTGGAGACGGGGATGTCGGAAGCCAGCCACTGACCGTAGTTTGCGCGTAAGCCAGAATCCTTTCTGCCCTGTTTATCAGCTGGTTTTGCTCAGTTCTGAGAAGCGAGAGCGGTTTTGTAAGGACCAGCCTGAAGGAACTGCATTCACACATCTCAGGCAGCCTAAAGCAAGAATAAGCCTTGGCTTGTTCAATTTGCTTCCCCTCCTTTATGGCTTGTTTTGGTCCGGTGTGATCGCAGACGTGGGCCTGGATGGAGAAACACACCGGGATGAAGCCAGAAAAGCCAAAAGAAGAGTTTGCATTCTCCTTTGCACGTTGCATAAAAGCCATATCTGCAGCTGAGAAGCTGTCAACAAACTGGGTTTCAAACGGAAGTTTATTGGCCTAAATCAAACCTTGGTTTGTTTGTCCCCCCCCCACTGCTTGAACATTTTTAACGATGCCAAAACCAAATCAAAGCAACCACCTTCCAATTTACCCAAGACCTGCAAATTCTCCTTCCCATTTTACTGTTCTTAAAACACGGAAGGAAAACGTGTTTTTCCTCCCTCTGGTCTATTCACACTGCGGCAGCCTGTCCTAAAATTAAAGTATTAATTTGCAGTACACTAAAGGATAAAAAAAATGTATTAATTTTTTTTTTTTTAAAAAAAAGCTGTTATTATCCATTCTAATAGCCATTGTAAGCATGAATGTTGAAAAAGGAGGAAAGTACATTTAGGGGAGCGGGTGGGAGACTGGTTAAGCAACCATATAAATACAAAGGAAGATTTATTAGAAAAAAAGGAATCAGGTTACTTAGGCAAAAAAAATAAAAATGAAAATGAAAAGCACGAAACCGCTCAGTGAACTAGCTTGCATGATACAACTACTTTGTCTAAGTTTTGAGGTCTCTGCCCTTCTTCATTTGCAACGAATGGGGTTCAGCTCTAAAGTGCAATGCAAAAAAAAAAAAGGAATATTGATTGTGTTTATGCAGTTATTTTTTTAATGTGAGGTTTTTTTTAAAAAAAAATTGCTTCTTTGTATGTTTTTTTTCTGCAGTTATTAAAAGAACATATGCATGAAATTAAATTTTTTACCATACCTATATTAATTAACGGGCATTATTAGTGTCTTATGTAACAGTCCATAAAGGTGTGTCCCCCCCCCTCCGCCAGCTGAAGACCCCCTCAGCTGTCTGTTCATCTTCAGCGTCGCTTTTCTGCGAGTGGCACAGAAAACCTGCAACACCACCAAGATGGAAGATTCCCTCTTAGTGCCAACCTGGGCTGGGTAGATCAATGCAGAGTTCCTCCCCTTTCCTGGGGTGGGGGCGGGAGGGGAAAGGAAATTCCCACCCACCCGAGATTGAAAAAGAAATTGATACTCAGGGCAAAAGAGGAGAAAGCGTTTTGCCGATAAATCCCTCGGGGGGGGGGGGGCAATGTTATTAGCAGCTCCCGAGAGTGAGCGGTGGGCACGTTTGACAGTATCCCCCCCCCCAGGTTTCCTTTGGCACGCAGCTATTCCTGAAACATTTCCTATCACATCAAAATGCAAGGTGGTGCATGCAGCCTTTAAATTTAGCCTTTCCTTGGGAGGGGGAGATTAAAATTGAAAGCAAAAAGCCCCCCCAAAACCAGATTTGGTCTCCCAAAGCAATTTAGCTCGGAGGAAAGAGAAAAAAAATTCTGCAATTTCAACCACGCAGCTCATACCCCACTTCCTCTGTTAATTTGGTTCTGCCCCCCCCCTCAATTTTCTCTCAAAATTCCGGGGAAAAAAGAATTACAGGTGTCCGGGCCCCCACCTGTGTACTTTGCACGGGCCTTTCCGTTTTGCAGCATCGCCTCCCTCCCCCACACCTTTCCCAACCAGCCAGGCATCCTGTGAAATTGACCTTCCTGGAAAGTGCTGCTTTCTAAATTGTGTGTGAGTGTGTGTGTGTTTTGTGTCCGTGCCCTCCGAGACGGCTTGAAAGCCAGCATCCTGGGCCGGCTCGCTCGCTTGCACCGAAAGGGGCTGTGTAGGGGAGCCCGGCCAGCCTTTCGGAGGAGAGCGCAAGGCCACCCATGATTGAGGCTACGATCCAGTTGAAAGTTGCCGCCGTTTTGGATGAGCTGCCGCCATCGAGATGGAGAAGAGCTGGAGAGAAGCAGAGGGAAATGGGTCCCCCTTGAACCCTGTGTCTCAGCCGTGGCCCTTTTAAGATGGGTGGACTTCAACTCCCAGAATTCCCCAGCCAGCGAAGCTGGGATTTTGAAGTCCGCCCATCTTAAAATGGCTACAGTTGAGAAACACTGATCTAAACCATCCTGGTTTTGCAAGCTCTTACCTACCTGGTTTAATTTGGGGAGGGGTGGGGGATATCAGTATATATCGGTATATAAACTATATATACCTATGCATAAATATAAATACATATATACATATCTAAATACATTGTATATGCAATTGAAGTCAATTTTTAAAGAAATGCCCAGCTACGTTTTAACAAGGGCGGGGACGAAAAAAAAAAAAAATACCAACAGCAATAAAGATATTGATGTCTACGGAGCAGCTAAGAATGATTAAAAAAAATATTGCTTTTTCAAATGGAACTACCCAATGTTAAAAATAAAATAAAACACAAAACACTGTAAATACTTCTTTTCGTTTTATAGCTGTATAATAAGTGTATATGGTGTTTACTTTTTGAGGCCTTTTCCCCCCTCTTCTTACCGAGTTGTTTGGTTTTACAACTTATGCTTTGAAATGAAGACAGGTTGATATTTGTTAGGGAATAAAGGCCCCACCCCGAAATAACACATTTATTTTGGAATCTCAATGTCGGTTTAAACCTTTGGTCCCATTATTTGCGCCATATATTCATGTTTCATTGTATTTTGATGGTTAAAAAAAATAAATAAAATGGACATTTCCTTCTCTAAGTCAAAGCAGTTCCTGTATGAGAGAGAGAGAGAGAGAGGGGCTTTTTTTTAGAAGAAACAAAATAATTCAGTTTTCAACAGGGACTCAAACTGCAATTTTTGAATAGATAAAAAAAAATAAAAAATCCTTTTGAGCGCATTTTTCTTTAGGTCCCGCCACTGCTGCTAACAATTCAATGGCTTCCCTATTTTAGAATTATTTTTATGTGATTAAATGTGCTTGCTTGTTTACAAATGCCTGAGTGAGAGAGAGAGGAAAAAAAAAGGGGGGGGGGGAAGAGAACGATAACCCTTTGCCCTCTCTCCCTTTTTTTCCAACCTGGAAACAGATAATATTGTAATATAAAGGACTTTTATCGAAGTATGTATAAAAAAAATAGCTATGCTTATAAATACATCTCAGTGACTGAATGTACAGTGTATAGACTCATTATCGCTAATAAAATTGTCCGGAAAAATAAGTCCAAACCCAGTAAAAGTATCTTATTTTACTATTAAAACAAAATTTACATAA